CCTGGAGGAATCAGGAGGGCAGAGCAAGTTACTGCCTGAAGGGCAGGAGTGGGCAGACAAACAAATTCTAGTTTATTTTATAAAGATCAGGAGGAAGGCTAGAAACTACCGAAGACCGAGGCCTAGTCCACACGTAGCCGGGGTTTTTTGAAAACGAATATCCGCCCCTGCAAAAACTTGCATCCACACCACCTTGTTTTAAAACAAAACTCTGTCCACACATACCCAGATAAATACGTTGTTCAGGACATGTCCGACCTGTAGGCGGCAGTACTTCCCCCATTCTTAACCTCGTCCTTCGTCTGTGGTCTTCCGCAAGGAGCAGTAATTCCGCTTGCAAAAACAAACAAGCAAAAAGCACTTGGACAATTGATAAAGCGAGCACAGCTCTGAGGGCTTCCATGATGCCAGCTAGTGTAAACACAGGTCGCACACATGATGTCAGCAATTTTTGTTGCGGAAAGTGACGTTGCGGATCTTAAAACTCCGATTTTGCCTGTCCACACGCAGACACCCAAAACGGAGAAAACGCAGGTCTTCACTTTGGCCGGAGTTTTTAAAAAGATCCGTTTTCGTGTGAAAAAACTCCATTTTCGTGTGGATGACAGGCCAAAACGTAGAAAAATATCTACGTTTTGGCAGATCCCCGGCTACGTGTGGACAGGGCCTAAGTATCATCTGGCACTGGTGAGTTGTCCTGCTGCTCCTTAAATCCCCTGACCGCTGATGAGCTGATTTGGTACAGCTGAGCTCTCCAGACACACTCACCTGTAAACAAACACTCACACAGAGATGGTAGTTCAGCACAGATCACGACACTATATGTGCTCCTCTGTATCCAACAGGCTCAGAAGAGAGACACTTCGACACATAGAGGGGGCTGGAATTAACAGATGGCCTTAATAGGATGATGGCTACATAGGGTGCATGACATTACACAGAAATAGAACAGTGGTTTGACTCAAAAATACTTAAAATCGCGCCCTTTGCAGATCTTCTGGATATAAGAAAAGAATAAGTTGTGAACTGCTCTACAGGAATGATTGTATCATCTATAAGAGATACATATTTTTGGTTGTTATTAGTAAAAAGCTGTTTTTTATTAGCGTCTTGATTAACCATGGCAGACAGAATAATAAAGAACTACTAGACAAAACGATCCTTGAAGGATAAACGTGAGAAGGAAGAACTTGATGATTTCACACTGAGCATTATAAAGTCATCTTAAAGCTCTATATATCCCACACTGACATTTCCCAGCTTAATGAACAACACACTGACTCTTTATGCAATGCCTCTCTTTCATTTTTTTTTCTTTTACAGCAGAGCCATAAGACGCAGTGCAAGTGCTGTTGTCAAGGCAACGGGCCTGTGTCATATGAAGGAAAAAAGGAGCTTTGCCTCACACGACTGCTATGCTGCAATCTGACTTTTTCCCGAACATATTCCTATTGTTTTTGCACATGAACAAATGTAACTTTAGATGTCTGGAACCAAAAGGCATGATAGATGAGATGTTTCATTTACAGAGCTTAGTATATTGTAACATTTGGCATATCTCAAACCATTTGACCACTGTTAAATTATCATCGTTCATCTGAAAACCTAAAATAAAACAGAAAAAAACGGGTTTTTTCCTGTCATTTCTTCATACTTGGTTAAATCTAGTTGTTTTTGAAGGTATTGGCAGTATTTGTCCACCAGAGGTGGAGTTTCCAAACAATTTTGCACTTGTCTGAATTGGATTTTCTGATTGCTTTAAAATTTTTCTTCATGTTCATGAAGCCCAGAGTTAGGGTTTGTACTGGTTTATAATGTTTATCTTAAAATGTCATATGTACTTTGTTAGGATTTTCAAACTGTTCTACTGAAATTGCGTTATAAAGGTTCTGCACCTGAGGCATCAGTCAGCCGTGCGGTCTAAATGATTGCTTTTTGGCAGTTTTACAACATTCTCTCCCCCTTTTTTTTCCCACCCTAGTCAATTTTAGACCAAAAGACAACAGAGACATTTTTCTCTTCTCTGAAATGTAACTCTTTATCTTGTGATGCATCTAGCCCTAAAAAAGAACAGAAAACACTCCCACTCACTGACATTTGAACTCCAGTCTGGTCAGATTCTGCTTTGTTGTTGTCCTTAATACTGGGTAAGAAGAAAATTCTCATGGCTTTTTTTTTTGTCTCTTCTTAATCTCCCGTCTGCTGTTGTCTGCACTCATTGTCTCTGACATGACAGCTTTATTCTGCATAAATATAAAGAGGAAAAGTATTCTTTTAACCAAATGAGAAATTGTGTTCAGACTAATCAGAATGAGATAATAACCAGAAATCTCTCGTTTTTTTTTCTTAACGTTTTGGTCCCTGATGGTACAGCTGGTGTCTTTTTGAATCCTCTTTGTTTAGATAAAATATTCATTCATAACCAGCCTGCAACACGGTTGACTTAACAGAAACAATAATGAATAATTAACTAAAAATGTTTCATTTACTGTTTTGCAATATGATTCCATTTGAGGCTCACAAGTAAAATTAGTGCACATTTTTTTTAAAGGTGTGGAACACTGAAAAAACATTTTTCTAATTATTATTTATGATCATAATGGGTCATTCGGAGTTTTTCATGCAGGCTGAACATGAAAATAGTCTCCTACATCCATCTCCTGAGAAAATAAACTTGCGACACGGATGGCTGTTGTTGGTTAACGTCCAGGAAACAGCAGAGAACGTCTCGTCAATAGAAACCATCCGTTAGCATTAGCACCTCCACCACATAGCAGAACACTTCCAGACTTGTGTTATTTATTTGTGGAGATAAAAACATCCATGTAGCAAGTCAGTGGTAGTCACGTTGCTGTTATCCAATCTGAGGCAAGATGTCCAAATATTGGGAAAAAAAGACTCCAAATCCTGCAGCCTGAAGCTCAGACAGTGATTTGGCTCACTTCTAGTTCCTGGAAATGGTGCACTAGTGTTTTTTGCACCCCCAAGTATGAATTACATGGCATTCGTTCCCACTAGAGACCACTGCAAATGTATTGATTAAAGGTGCATTGCATGCAAATGAAGTAAAAAAAACACACCCTGTGGTAAAAGTTGGTTACTGCAGCCACTTTAAACAACTCTGGAGCTTTTTGCTGGCCATCATCAAATTACAATTGTTTGCACTGTTAAATTAGCTTGCAGGAGACACGGCAACCCCACACTCACTGATGGTAAACAGTAGTTACGTCCCTCCATCCTTTGTTTTAAAAGGAGGAAAACTCATAATCTCTGAGGGCTTGCTGGATATGAAAATATGTTTCAGTACAACCTTCCTTCCAAAATGATTGTTAAATTCTTTCTATATTCTTACATAGTGCACCATTAAACAAGTGTCCCACAATTTTAAGCTGCTTGAGCAAGGATAGAATAAGTATTTTCATAAAGATGATATAAAATGAGGCATTGATTCTAATATTTGGTGTAAAATTTGGCCATATATGTGTCCACTTCATCCTGATTTCCTTCTCCCCATCAAATCTCAGTGTTCTCTAACATTTCCAGGCTGAATGCAACGACTGATTTATCTCTAATTTTGTCAGTTATCACAGATCTTCCACCATCTGAACCAGAACAGCTTGAGGTAAAACGCCCAGAAGGGCCAATGGCCCCATGGCTTCCCAGACCCAGCTCTTATCTCTTTCAGTAGTGCAAACCTTTACACTTTGCACTTAGACGCCAGCCATCCTCAGAGAGGAGCTTGCTTTCTTTGCCTATTCCCTTCTCCTATTTTCTTCAGCCGCTCACCTAAGAACTCGTGTCCACATGCTGAAGTGTCCTTGGAAAACGCATAGTTGCTCCTGATGGCTGGTGAGCGCTTAAGTGTGTGGTGGAGAATGTGCAAAAGAGAGGCAGGACATTGTATAGCTTTGTAAACCTTTAAGGCTTTAAGTGCAATAAAAATGAAGTCCACTCGACACTCTTCCAGCCTTACTTCCAGAGCAGCTGCTGCTTGATTTAAACGTGCCTGTATGTTATCAGTCCAGCACCAAAAGACAAACAAAAAAAGCATCTGGCAACTAAAAACCAAAAGATTTCCCACGGGAATTGGCTGCAGAACTAAACAGAACATAACAGAACAATTATCGGGCTGAGAATCATCAAATAATCCATCTCTAACTTGACTGATTGGGTTTTGCTGCCCCCAAGCGGCCGATTCGTTGCACGCTGGTGAGGTAAAAGACCAAAAGATCATGCATGTTTTATCACCTGTTGGTGCAGATTTGCATTTTAGCATTATTCAAACAAGAGTATGAAACCAATTTTTAATATGCCAAATCTCGGCTCCTTGTGATATTTATAGACAGTGTCAGAAGTCTCATTTTGTCACCAAAACACAAGCAAAACTAAATTTTGTTGAGGTGAACTTTTTTTTTCAAGCTGCAGCCTGTTGATGGCGAGATGCGTCGCACCCATCGACATATATATATATATATATATATATATATATATATATATATATATATATATATATATATATATATATATATATATATCGCATCTCGTCACGAAGGCGGAAATATAAGTGCGCGTGCAGAAAGCGGGAGAGCCCGCACTGAGGGTGGGAGAGAGAGAGAGAGAGAGAGAGAGAGAGAGAGAGAGAGAGAGAGAGAGAGAGAGAGAGAGAGAGAGAGAGAGAGAGAGAGAGAGATGGGCTCCAGCGCAGGAACTGTTGGACTTTGCAACATCTTCATGATGCTTGAATCTGATCATCTGATCGAGCTCCAAACGGAGAATGAGCTCTGTGGATGAGGTCGAGCCTTCATTTTCTCTTATATGAGTATCGGACGCCAAGGGGGAGTGGGAGAGTGAGTGAGAGAGAGAGAGAGAGAGAGAGAGAGAGAGAGAGAGAGAGAGAGAGAGAGAGAGAGAGAGAGAGAGAGAGAGAGAGAGAGAGAGAGAGAGAGAGAGAGAGAGAGAGAGAGAGAGAGAGAGAGAGAGAGAAGAGAGAGAGAGAGAGAGAGAGAGAGAGAGAGAGAGAGAGAGAGAGCAGCACGCACGCGCGTAAAGAGGAGATTGGACACCTGATTTCGCGGGGTGCCTTTGGAGCGCTCTTTCATGTTTTAAGTCCAACCATCGGTGTTTTAAAGGCCCTGGCTGCAGCGGGGCGCTTCCCCCCACCTTGGATTATCGTCAGCATGGACACAAGGCAAACGGAGGACACATCACCGCGTCTACTTCTCAAGCAACGCGCTCAGACTTGACGCATCCATTTCCCCCCTGCTATTTCCCCCTCCTCTACACATCATTTAAACTGTGTTCGCTGCAGCATTTTTCCATCTCTCCTAGCTTTATGAAAAGTCAAATATCCGTGACTAAGGATCGGAGCGGGTGTGTTGTCGGAGAGGAATGAGAGGAGAGGGAATAGGAGGGGGGGCGGAATGAGGTGTGCGTTCTCGGGGTTTTTTGCCCGAAAAAGCCGGAGAAAGACGGAGAAGGTGCTCTGAGTCTGAAACGCGCTGCCCCTCTTTTGAGATCTGAGAAGACATGGCCTAATTAGGAGAGCTCACGCCGACAGGAGAGGAGAAGAACCGCAGCTGCTGTGGATGGACGGGCCAGCATCCGCGTCATCGCCTCCATTCCGGCGTCTAGTTTGAGGTAATGTTCACCACGCTCTGAGTCCTCCAGAACGTTACCAGAGGTTTGCTCTCAGTGGAGATGCATGTGTGCGCGCTTTGGTGACTTTGCACATTGCGCACATCTTAACGCACTGAAGTCCTCACTTTGTTGCTGTAGCCCTGAGTGGGTGGATTGGATTGGCCTTGCCTGTTGATAAGCTGTCACATCGTGACACGATCGGTCTACTTTGTACAAACAGGAAGATCGGTGATTACTCCGGAATCGGCTCATCCCCCCCCCCCCCCCCCCTTCCCACACACACACATCAATCTGGCCGTGTTTTTCAATATCAAATTAGTCAACCTGTGTGTGTGTGTGTGTGTGTGTGTGTGTGTGTGTGTGTGTGTGTGAGCGTGCGCATCGGCCATAGATACAGAAGATGTCCTCTCTAATGAACAAACTCACAACACCTTTAACACACGTGCGCGCGCACGCACGCACACACACACACACACACACACACACACACACCACACACACACACACACAGCCAGCCCCTGCTCTATAGATGCAGGATTGTGAATTAAACACACGCTGATGATCCAGGAAAGGCTCCATTAATATTCAGTAGTGGTTGAGCAGAGCTCAGTTAATGGCAGACAAACAGGACCTCTGTTCTGACAGGTCATTGATGAGAAATGGTGTACATTCATTTGCATTTTTATTTCTTTTTTCTTTTTTTTCTTTTATTTTACATTCGCACGTCACTTTGCAGGAAAAGTGAAAAACATTGTGCAAAAAGGGAACAGAAGTCTTAATATTATAAAAAGATGTAGCAATGACTGTTTCTGCACTCTCTCACCGATGTGTTGCCTTTAGCTATAGAGAAGTGACATTTAAAATCCATCCAAAAAACCGACTTTTGTATTACTTCTGCCGGTGTGGTGTTGAAATAGTTGTGATTGCTTTCTCAGGCCTGCATCATGTCAGCCTATACTGACTGACATTTGGATTCTTACTCAATTACAACAGAACAAGGCTGGAGAGTTGCAAAGGCTTCACCAATCAGAAACATGCTTGGGGCAGATGCTTTATAACAGAGTTTGTTTATATCAGAGCAAAGAACTAAATGGCACACTTCAAATAGAAATTGTGGTCAATTTGAAATTAATTCCTGTATTAAAGTTAAAAAAGTACTAATACTATATTTCTAAAATGTATTGAGGTAGAGTTCTGAACAGCCTCTTTTCAGAGAAAGAGCTTTCACATCTTTCAGGATAGATAGATAGATAGATAGATAGATAGAAGATAGAAGATAGATAGATAGATAGATAGGTAGATAGGTAGATAGATAGATAGATAGATAGATAGATAGATAGATAGATAGATAGATAGATAGGTAGATAGGTAGATAGGTAGATAGATAGATGAAGGGAGGGAGGGCATGGACGGACAGATAGATAGAAAGAATGATTCTGATTACATTTCTTTTGGCTAATATGTTAAAGTAACACTGAGCAGTTTCCTGCTCCTCCACCCTACTGATTGAAAGAAGAATTACAAAAGTCGTAACAACCCTGCAGCAGTCTGCTGTAGCTAGTGTTAGCAACAAGCTAACACTAACACGATTCAACTGATACTAAAATAAACCTGTAAGAAAGAAGATCCACACTATTGAAAAAAGATATTTTATAACTTACAAGTCCAGTAGCAACAAAGCCAAGTCACCATCAGTCTGCAACTTTGCAGCCTCCTTTAGATTCCTCAAACTAGGTGTAGGCCGCACTGATGTTCACTCTGGCTTTAGCTCTTTGCTTCACTTCCAATACTCACTTACTTTTACTTCCATGCTCTACCATGATGCCAAAAATTAAGCAAACTTCTTGTTTTTCCTCTACTCATGCTTTTTAGTTATGATCGACTAACCAAAAATGCTAGCTGCTAGCATAACAACTAAATACATAAAGCAGGTAAAGAGCTCCCCCTATAGGGGCACCTAACCAGCCCACAAAATTGTAAAGTGCAGTTTCTGGTCAGCAGAGGATGGCAAATTTTGGTAAAGTGTTCTCACACAGTCACTTAAACCAAATTTTGAATGAATAGCTTAACGTGTTAAAACAATTTAGTGTTAGTTTAACAGCTCTTCACAAAACTTTGGTTCCCCAGAAATATTTTTTTTTATATTTGTAACATTCTCAACATCTCATATTTGCTCTTCTTTTGGAAATTCCAAATTAGTATAATTCATTATATTTATGTTTTCAACTTTTAATTTACAATATTTCAACTAATTAAATGAGAATTCCTGATCGTTCAACATTTGTATTTAACTCATCAGTGCACCAACCTTCATCCTTTTAAATTTCTAACCTGCAAAAGTCAGTTTTCAATGAGCTGCAGGGACACCAAGGTATAGAACATGCGTTCCCTCTCTGTAAAGGTTTATATAATACTGTAGCTCGAATAGTTACGAAATATTAGGAAATTGGAGCAGTTTCAATGGCAGCAATCTGCTTTGGTCTTGTCTATGCTCTGAAGGACGGGAAAGCTATTTCTCTAGAGGAGACTACCAAGGAAGCTCTCTATAATGGCTATAATATAAAACTTTACACAGAAATGCAGTTCAAAATGAACCAATATTTCCATTTAATAGTAGTAACTAATTTTAGCATCTATAACTTCAAACAACCCATGTAAACATTTTTGAATAATTCTTTCACTGGATCATCAAACTGTGTCATGAATCTAATTTGACTCTAGCTGTCCTTGAAAATGGAGATTTGATAACAAAAGAAAGGGTCAAATCTAACAAGTAAACTTTAAAAACAAACAGATTTTCAGCTGTTCTCTAACCACCAATAAAAGAGCCGCCAGTGCTGATGTTGTGGCACACAGCGCCCACGGGCTTCCAGGGAGCATATGGAGGTTAAGTGAAGATAAATGGAAAGAAAAAGAAAGAATGACCGCTTAATGGATTGGATGACAAAATTAGGGGGTGACTTACAATCCAGAACACAATGTGTCAACTTGGTGTTTAATGAGGTATGTTTGGGTGATATGGGTGTGAGGAAGGTGGAGTGTTCAAAGGGAGACAGTTCTCTCATGCGAGAGCAGAGCATTTGCTGATCCAGGACACGGTCCTTGTTTGTCTGTTTTTGTTGTTGTTGTTTTTTTAAGGTGGAGCAGCCTCATCAAATCATTTGCGTTTTCTAAATTTCAAAATAAAAGCCTAAGAGGTTTAGATTTAGTATGGCCATTTTCTAATTGTTGTTTATTTTTCCCAACCTTTTCATGTATAATACAAGGGACAGCTTTTCAAAAGCTGGCATATGTGTGGGTGTTGATGGTATACTTTCATAAGCTACGGCATTGGACTCTAGTGTGTCACTCTATCTAAGCGAATGGGTGATATATTGGAGATTTATCATGAATGCAATATCTGTTCCATCTCAACAACTGTATCAGCTCTGCAATCAATACTCTGACATGCAGGGGAGGTGGACAAACTATATGTTGTTCTAAATCAACTTTCCTATGATGGCATATTTTACTTCAACAGCTGCTTTCCTGCTGTCCTTTTACCTACCAAACATACCAGGACATGAGTTGTTGCTAGTAGTTCAAAAATAGTCTGAACCTGCTAAGATGTTTATAACACAGGTTCAGGGTGTGATCATGATGTAAGTAACTTAATGTTGAGCAAAAAACATTTAAAAAATAAAATAAATATTGAAGATGAGAGCTTATGAGCCTGCAGGCCAACAAAACATAAACCCATCACAGATATCTGTCATAAATCAGAGTTTTAAAGAAAACAAACGATGAACAATATTTAACCATACAGGTTTTGGTTACTAACTGCTACAGTTGCAGAGTCAGTTTCATATCAGTGATGACTAAATGTTAAAATCACCTGATCTTATATAAAAACTGGAACTAAAAAAAATCACATGCTGCACAGCTTCACCACATCTAGATGCAACACAAAAATAGGGAATCTGTATAATTGCAATGATGCATTTACACTTTTGGAGGTGGAAATTATTATGCACATATAGTCATGTTTGTGGTGGAATCAGAGTGAACTCAACATGCTTTGATGACTGTTTTTAATAGAAGAGCAGCAGCTCCAGACTGTAGGTGGGAGGAATTCTCTGTTTCTGGATGAAAAGATCCTGAGTTTGCTGGTTGAGTTGTTTCAGGAGTCTACATTTGTCTCAAGGTTGTCATATAGGTGTGCAATTGCACTAAGTGTGAACTCTGTGGTGAGAGTGACATATATTAACTGTGCAACAGAGATGAGAGTGTCAGGTGTAAAATGTGGAAATAAAACCCATGTGGGCCTATGTGGTGTCACATGACTCAGAACATGGTGGATAAATATGTATTTTGGGGGGGTTGGAGTTGTTTCTTGAAATATTTATCTTGTTCACTCACAGGATGCATGTATTAAGGGTCCATAAGAGACTTCCTATGCAGGATTTTGTTCTGAGCTCTCAATAATACATCAGAACTTTGGAGGATGAAATAGGTCTGGATGTTTGCTGTCCTTTCAGAGCTTTCAGTTTGCACTCCAGAAAGCTGAGATGTTAGATATCTGACCATAACCTCGATGTGATTTCTGCATCAACGCATTCAATTCTTTCTAAAGACGTATGGAGATTCATACCCTCGGATCCTGGATTCCAACAAATATTTGAATAAATCATTATCTTCACACTGGGTTAGTGGCTTTGAGATTTGAATGTCTGTGTGGCAGAAAAATTCAGATCAACTCAGACCAAAGGGAGGTCAACGTGTCCCATGTCTCAGCCTTATGATCACGCAGGGGGGAAAAAAATACTGAATTGTTTTATGCTCCATTCCTCCACTCCTGCTTGAATATCTCACCAAACACTAATGAAAAATCCTATAATGTATCATGTTCTTTAATCATCAGCAAAGGCATAAGCTCATTAAACCTGACTTAAAATCTTTAATGGAATCACAACAACACTCCTCTCTTCAATCCTGCTGTAACGTTTTACTCTCTGATATTT